GCCGCTCGGCTTCTCTGTCGCCTTTAGACACAAACCAGGCCTGGGTGCCCCCGCTCCCGGCTCAGCCCCCCACGGCCTCCCCCGGCGGCCCCGCAGCCCGTCGCCCTCCCTCCCCTCACACCCCGGGGCCCCACGAGGACTCACTGCGCTGGACGCTGCGCCCTGGGCGGCGGGACCCGAGCGGCGCCGGCCCCGAGGCTGGAGGTTCCGATGGGGTGTGGCCGAGGGACTCCGACAGCGGAGAGGCGTCGGGGAGGCTCGGACGCCCCAAAATCGAAGGTGACGGCGCCACAGGGTCAGACACACCCTGCCCCGCGGGGCGCCGCCTCCCGGTCCCCTCCTTCTCCCGAGGGACGCGCAAAGCCCGAGAGCCGTTGAAGAAAGAAAAATGTCCGCCAGGAAGAGGACACCGGAGGTCCCGCCCTAACCGTACACACTGGCAGCAAAACACCTTGCGTGCGCGCGATGCTTTCTGGGTAATGTAGTTTTCTCAACCGCCCAGCAGAGTCTGGCTTTCCAGTGCAGGAACTTGGGGAACAAGGTGATGTGGAGCTGCCAGGGGCGCTGGGGGAGGAGATGGGAGCAGAGGCCGGGTTCACGGGGACAGACTGACAGGCTACCCGGGGGAAGTGGGGAGGAGAATTCCTGATCTGGGCTCTCTAGGTGAGACTCCACAAAATAAAATGAATGTGTTGGTACCTGAAAGGAACAGATCACATTTCTGTAATTAGGTTGATGGGAATAAAATACTTTTTAGAAATGAGGATTGGCAATAATAGAACTAAGTGGTTAATTCTCATTTGTCATCATATAGGAGCTGTGTGTTGAACAAAAGCTTGCCCCAACAGCCATTTATTTCCAGGGGCCACATCAGTGCAGCGATTGTGGAACTGAGAGGCCCAGACTCAGCTCTCACACCCGGTACTGACTCTCAGCCCCACCCCTTCCTTGTTATGGAAACGGGCTCAGCCAGTCCCACACCTGTCAGCAGGTGCACTCCTCCCCCCAGGAGAGCCTGTACCCTCACTCACTCTGGCACCACGTGTACATCACATGGGGGCAGCTTTAGGTTTATGTTGGGTTCTTCTCTGATTTTCCACTACTGGGTTGGTGCTGCTGCCAATACAGTGACCTGCTGATGGCGAAGAGTCGCTTGCTTAGCTCATCGGCTTGAGTGGGCACCAGTTAAAGCCCTTCAAACAGACAGTCTTTCCTGGGCAGTGCTGATGCCCAGGTTGTGGGCTCCATCCCCAGGGGTGGCCTGTGGGAGGCAGCCAATCCATGATTCTCTCTCATTGATGTTTCTATCTCTCTCTCCCCCTTCCACCCTGAGATCAATATACCCTGAGTGCCCACATGACTATGACCACCCCATCAGTACTTCGTTGACACTTCCAAAAATACTGAATATTGAAAACTTCCTCAGCAAATACTCTCAAGGTTTTATTATTATTTGCATAACTAATTTTCATTGTACTGAATGGGTGGTCATCATAATCTGGGCACTCAGTGTGTGTGTGTGTGTGTGTAAGAAAAATAGATAGGCCTGACTGTTGTGTTGCTTTTCTCTAAGGATGGATGTAGGTGGGTGACTGTTGCTAAAAGGGTCTATGATGGTGTTTAGCGTGTGAGCTGAGCGGAGACTTCAGAGTCCCGAAGGCCTTTCCAAGACACGTTAAAACTGCTCAGGGGCCACACAGCTGCCCAGCACCCTATCACTTGCTTTACAGCCCTGTGCTGTGTGTCACTTTACTCAGACTCCACTCAGAGTCCGCGGGTGTCTTCATCACGTCCTAGGCCACTGGGTGACCATGCTTTTTAGTGGCTGTAGGTCTCCCAGCTGCGCCCTTTGTTGGAGTCACTTCTGTGCAGCTGTGTTCTTGGAAGTGAGCAGTGTATGGGAGCCCTTGATCCAGGGGGAATAAAGGTACATGCACGGGGGCAGGCCAGCTCACAGGGTGCGCCACGGCACATCCACCCCCCTCCCCACTTCCTGCACAGGGCCCTGGACACCTCCCAGAATTGCCTCGAGGACCTGCTGGGGGAGAACATGGCCCTTGAGGTTTCACAGATCCAGAGGATGGACCAGCCCGACCACCTGAGCTGGGAGCTGGAGCAGCTGTCAGATGGTAGACAGCAGCCCCTGGCGCCAGGGAGCCAGCCTCGCTGTGGCTTCTCCCTCACCCAAGGAGCTGAGCCCTGGGCTCTGAATCTCCTGGGTCAGCCCATCCTCAGCCAAGCT